CTGGTGGGCTGGTGGACTGGTGGGCTGGTCAAATCTTTAAAATGTTGTAAGTATATCGTTCGAGTTCCACATCGTTTGCGTACAGGTAGATGTCACGTGTATCAGGGGTCCTATGCATATGATTCCATGGCATCCATACTTCAACCACATAGTCAGTCCTGTCAGGAAACGCTGCGCTGTTGCCGTAGTTGTTTTCTCGTATTTCTTCCTTGCTGAAGTGACGAGGGTCCATGGAAGTGAAATATACGCCTAAGGTAATAGTAAAGGTAATATTAATGATGATCATGATGATGATGGTAGTGGTGGTGGTGGAAGTGATGATGCTGATCATGATGGTGGTGGTGACGGTGGAAGAGATGATGACGACATTATAATAATGGTGGGGATAATAAATGCTAATGATGATGGTGATGGTGRTGGTGATGATGATGATGGTGGTGGTGATGATGGTGATAGTGGTGGTGATGGTAACGATGATGGTGATGGTGGTGGTGGTGTTGGCTGTGATGACGAAAATGATGATGAGTGATCTTGATGTTGATAGTGGAGTGTTGGTGATGATCGTGTTCTTGATGATGGTTAGTGATTCTTGAATGATGATTATAAATGTAATAAGGACGACGAAAACAACATGAAGGTAAGGGAATTAAGGAACAATTGATACAATTACCTCTTCCATATGTTGCGTCCCTGGCTTCGACGCTAGATGCGCTAATCTTTTTACACCTTGCGATAGCTGTAGCGCCCTCTTTGTTCGTGTAGTGATAGAAATTCTTTATCTTAAGAAATAAAACAATGATAAAATATTATAAGAGGCAAAGTCTGTAAAAATCAAAAATCCATGTTGAAAAAATCGATTTTGTTCATATTTGGTCCATAGTTGGTCCTATCATTTTCACCACGGATTTAGGCTGAATAGAGGCAGCCGACGGCGATTTTCTCAAAATAAAAGTGAAATTATTCAAAATGAACATCAGTACGTTTATTTGGGTGGTATTCCACGTCTTTGGATCAAATATGAACAAAATCTATCTTTTTCAACGTGGCCACGGATTTTCGATTATGTTTGATTTTTACAGACATACAGACTTTACAGACTACAGACTTTTTTATTGAGCTCCTTGAAAAATGCTTTTCAGCTAGCTACAATATATAAATAATAAGAATAAACTGTACAAAACAGAAAAAGAATTAAGATTTAGGCATTGCCTCTTAAGTGCCTGCCTTCTATGGAACTAGAACTAAAAATGTTTTGATTCACGATATTAAACTGAAATTTAATGCTGATTTTAAATCTAGCTGAAAAGAAAAAAGGGTTTCCCAAGGTCGTTTTCAAGATATTCATGATTGAACATAAGCGTATCAACAATTTTTGGATAAGAAACAGCAATAAAAAAATCCTACGAAAAAAAATCAAAATGTAACTGGTAATCAAGCTTTTGACCATTTTTTTCTCAAGAATCCTAAAATACCATCCTAAAATAACCATCTTACAAGTATGAAGCTAAAGTGAAAGCTGAGATTTGGAAAAAGTTGATAAGTATAGTGAAAATCGTCTTGCACGAGTAYTAAGATTTAAAACTCTTTCTTCTATTAAAACCCATGCAATTTTATAAGAAGTTTATTCATAATGTACTCTTTTGGAAATTCGAAAAGCCACTATAAATTCCCGTGCATAATGTAAGGGTTTCGCCCTGTTGAAATTCAAATCCGAAGTTTACTTTGCACTTTTGTGGTATCGACGTCTGTTTTAAATGCATTGGGTCTCTGAAAGAGAAATGTTTCCTCTCTTTTACGACTGTTATGACATAAAATTATTTCCTGACGATGTGGTACAAGGATAAGGGAAATTTCAAGCTATATATCTTGCACTTTCGGCTACCGTTGAGTGAAAAATGTCGTACAAATATTTTTCTTTCCAACTTACGCTTCGAAGAAAAATTGATTTTATGAAAGCTCTCAAATTGTTCGAATGACAAAGAAATCGTAAATCAGTCATTCTTCACGAATTGTGTTTCTTAGAAGAATGATAAATCCAGTGGATAAATTTATTGGATAACAACATCGACTTATCCAATGAATAAAGATTTATCCACCGGCTAACGCTATTCAGGCTTGGTACAACTGGGCCCTGGGTGACTGCCTACCTTTGAACGTTTGCTTTGAGCCCACTTCCGGTGACGCCATTTTTGCTTCAAAAACTCGCACGTAGACATTCTTAATACATGCTGATTATCTCAAAAACAAGCTCGGGATACCTATTTTTTCATATTTTTAATCATCTTTAAATTTCACTTCATAAGTGTAGTTTTTTAAAAACRTTTAAAATTGTTTCCACGGATTTAGTCAGTAATCTTAATTGAATTTTGTTTACTTAACAATTATCGATGCAAAATAAATGGGCAATAAACCACCGTTAAGGTGGCTGCCTACTTTTGAACGTTCGATTTGAGCCCACGATGTGCGCGCGCTCAAAAACCGCTGA